TTTTCAGCCACTTTCTCAGCTATGCTGCTGCTGGTCTGCACCACAGCTATTGCCGGCGAGTCTTTCCTCGTTGTCTGCTCGGCGGCAGCAGCTTTTGCGGCAGGCTCTTCTTCAATCGCTGTGGCTGCCGCCTCTTCATGCTGCTTTGCTTCAACCTGCTCCTTTTCTACTTCTTTCTCTACTATCTCCTTCTCTTCCTCTTGCTCCTCTTGCCCTGCAGGACCTTCTGGTCTGTCTAAACGCAGCTCCACGTTTTTATTGGCATCTTCGATCAGTGAGAGACCACGCTTGCCGCTCTTCAAAAGCTCCAATTGCTGCTTCATTTGCTTGGACAACTCTTCGCCGTACAATGCCGTCTCCTCGTACTCCGTTATTTGACCCATTTTTTTGTAGTAGCGCACAACACTGGACGACCACTGCTTGACATTGGCCTTGCGACGCTTTATCATGCGTTTTAGACGCGGATCGAAGAGCAGGAGACGCGCACGGCGTAGGAGCAGCACCCGATTATTGCGCTTACGCCAGGCATAGATGCGCAGGACACAGCGCGGATTTAGCGCATAGATGATAAAGCGCTTCGCATTGGCCCAGTTCCGGTGCAGAAACTCCTGTGAAACGGGATATTTGCGTTTCAGGTGAAGAAATTTCCTCAACTCCTTGCCCTTCAGTACAATTGGCGGCAGCTCTTGTGTCATTCTAGAAAAACAAAAAGTCCTGTTACAAGACTACATAATAAAAATAATTATATACAAAAACTAATCGTTATACTTTGATAGGCAAATTATAGTACAATAAGCGATAGATATTCAATATCTTGTTATCGATTAGCGAATGCGCGGGAACATTTACTTTCGAGCAATCAAGACGACAAAACAGACACATGGGCGGCCTCTAGATATTTAATATTACTTCAGTAATCATATTATTAATTTCAATTCAAAACAATTATTTAACAAAAAATTAAACTTTGAATTTTGCTTACGGTCACACTGTTATTGACAGCTCAATATAAATGTTATTCTAGAAAGTTCTGTCTCCAAAACCATCTAAGCTCGCATACTCGCGGCAAATTGTAGACTGTGTACGCTACAAAGAAAACTCGTCACGCACTCTATTTCTATTTACAAGTATGAGAAAGACACAATTTTTCTAAAAGTGCTGCCCAGCTAGAGTTCCAGGCGAAATAGGCAGCACTGGTCTGATAATAGATACACACATAAAGCAGACACAAGCACCTGACGGACGAAAATTGAACTAAACGAAAAAACAATGCAGCAAACGACATGCACACACAAATACACACACACAGTAGTAATTAAATAAAATCAATTATATTTCCATATAAATACACCAGCTCTTTCTCACAGGACAACAAATAAGCACATTGTTATCGAACAGTTATCGAAATCTACAAGCAACTTGTATCGAAATATGTGACGGCTGTTAAAACATATAAACATACATACATGCATTAATAAAAAAAACCGCACAACGGTAGATGCCAAAATAGAAGGGCCCAGCAATTTGTTGTTGTTGTTATTGAAGCGCCTTCGAATATGCCCAACACTCGCACAAACGCTGGTCGCCCCCAACACACACAGACACGACGCCGAGAGCAGCAGCAGCAGAGGCAACTAAAACATTTTATACGCTGTGTTTATTCTCACTGCACATAGACTTTTTAACTAATGCCAACAATTCCAATAACAAATGTTTTTAGGCATTGCGCATGTGCGCAATAATTGTTTTAAAATGCACTTGATATTATTTAAACTTTGTTTGATATACAAGAAGAACGCGTGCGAATATTTTGCGATCACAAACAGCTCTGTGTGGGCCCTGCGACGGCTGGCCTGTTTGTGTGTGTATGTAGGCGACGTGTGAGTGTGTAAGTCCATTCTCAGACGTTCCAACGAAATGCAATGGCATTGGTACAACTGTAGTTGTCATGCTTATGTCATATACATACATGTATGTACGTATGCTTTAAGATTACTTCTGCAATGTATGTAGATGTGTGTGTGCGTGCGCACGTGGGTGCCGATAACCGATTTATTTTGTGAAAGTGAAAGAGAGATATAGCCAAGGGACTATCAAGTTCTGAGCCATTTATTACAATGCGATTGGGTTAGAGATTATGCTCAGCTGCCAGAAAAACTCGATACAACCAAGTGAAGCGGACAAATTGCGATCTTTACATTTTCTTAATTTTCTCTTAACCTAAAACTTATGTAAGAATTGAAGAATTCACAAATGCAGCTGAACCTTACTTAATTGCCTCATCATTCCATCCACCTGTCAATCAACAAAAATTTCGAAGCACTTCGCAATTAACACGCATTAAAAAATCGATAACCTCAAAAGAAAACCAACATGGCGTCGCGTCAACAGATACATACACACGCTACCGCCGATCGCATGCGTCAGAATGTAAAGCACCGATTTCGCCCGCCCCTAACAAAGCGAAAAGCCGAATGAAATGTTTTTTTCGAGTAGCTCGAAATGTCCTGCCACGTAAGAAACTAAATGGAAATAAAAACACTTACCTTCACAAAATTGTGCACACACAGTGCACTGCCGTCCGTTCTAATATCTAATTCCACAGGAATATTAGAATATTTTAACTTTTCTTTCACTTAAACGCGCAATTACTTGCGGCTCTCGCTGCTGACGTCGTAAAAAGCGTAGCACATACGAACGAGTACATACACAAAATTGACACACACATATATCGGCGACTGCTTGATGAATTTCAATATGGAGACCGATAACAGCGCGGCAAGGCGGCAGCGTGGAATGGAACACAGGGTTGTAGAGCGTGAAAAAAAAACCTTAAGCCTAGTGATATTCAAAGCTACGAAAATGAGCGGCAAAGCTGTTTGGTGTATTAAAGCAAAAAATGCTTTTACATATTTTGAAAAAAGTGACATAAATAAAGCTAGCAACAAAAATAGTTCAGTGTGCAGGTTCACTGAGCTCTTTTCACAAGGAAATATTATTTTTAATTTCGCCTAAATCAAGCTTAGCGCAGTTGAATGAACCACGTGCTTAGAAGGACGCTAATACAAACCTAGCTTAACAAATTTTAAATAGTAGTAGCCTTGGTGGTGCCACGTTTGCAAAGTTCATCACAATATCGTTTAACGAGCGCCTTCTGACAACCCTGTTTTTGTTTTTTCCCTCCAAAAGTACAGCTGAATTAAATATGCCACAGCACAACCCTGCACTTTGAGGTTAGGCGCAGGTGTGTGTCCCACTATGAAAATGAACACATGTCAATTTTAGCTTGATTTATTTGTTTGCTAATATATATGTACAGTAAGGAAAAATATATATATATAGGAAAATAGTGGCAAGAGATATCACGCATCAATAGGACTGTACTGTACCTGCAAATGCAAAAAATAGAAAATTACAGTTAAATTTGCGCTTCTTTTGAATGGAGAAAAGTTAAATAGATTTATTGACTTTAATTTCAGTAGGACCTATTTTTGAGGATTGTGTTGTTGCGGATTTAGTGAATCATGCCACAGTTCAGCTTTCCTTTCTCATCATGTTAGAAAATCTATGGTTGTTAATCTTGTATTTTTAAATGGTACCCACCTTTTTATTGCAATCAATGTTTTTTTTTTCTTCGTAAGATCCAAAAAGGCTGCAAATAAAAAAAAAGATACTCGTTATTTATTTTGAGTTAAACAATTTTGTAGAAATATATGCCAGAATTTCGTTTCAGTAGGACCTATTTTTGAGGATTGTGTTGTTGCGGTTTTTGTGAATCATGCCACAGTTCAGCTTTCCTTTCTCATCAGTTTAAATAATTTAGGGCTTTACGCGAATAACGATTGCTTACCTTTTTTAACTGTATATTCAAAGTAGTATCCTTACGTAGAAAACTGTAAGAGAAATAGAAGACGCTTTAGTATAAGTTTTTAAATTAGCATATATTAATTTTCTGTGAATCAATTTTCAGTAAGACCAATCCTCGCATTCAACATGAGAAGTTTCTCTTAGGTTTCAGATAGGGGCGAAAGCTTAATGCTCATCATCTAGAAACAGAAGCTTGATTTCAAACTTAATTATACAATGCTTACCGTAAAGAACGATTTCATTTCCATGGAATAATACATCGAAAGGCATATCTAGAAATAAATATGTATCTTATTAGTAACATATGTATATACGAATTAATCAGTTCAACAATAGCTAAGTTTGGTATCAGTAAGACCAATCTCGCATTCAACATGAGAAGTTTCTCTTAGGTTTCAGATAGGGGCGAAAGTTTAATGCTCATCATGTAAAACACAGGATCAAATTGGTTGCTTGGACCCAACACTTACCTTTCATTCGATATTGAAAATAGATGTCCTCGCCAAAAACAAAGTTTCACAGAAACTGAAAGCAAAATAAAATTGATAAGTCAGATACCAAGACATGAATTTTATCAATTGCTGTGCAAATCTTATTTCAGTAAGACCAATCTCGCATTCAACACGAGAAGTTTCTCTTAGTTTTCAGCTAGGGGCGAAAGTTTATTGATCATCACAGAGTGAAATATTTTAGCGATGCTTTTTAAAGGATACTAACCATTATTATTGCTGCTAAGATGATCAGCTGGCTCGGGCACAGTCTGAACTGTTCTGGCAAAACTCTAAAAAAAGGAAAAAATTTCAATTAAAAATGTATTTTTATACATTTAAAGCTATGCTTTAAGACTTGTATCAATATCAGTAAGACCAATCCCGCACTCAACATGAGAAGTTTCTCTTATGTTTCAGATAGGGGCGAAAGCTTTGAGCTCATCACAATTAAGACTTACTTTAAAAAATATAAATGTTCATATATAAACTTACCTTGCAGTTTGCCATAGAGATCTTTCTGTCTGACTCACGACCACTGAGCAATCTGTGCGAGCTGTAAGGTATAAAAGCTACGTTAGTAATATGCTATGGATGGTACAAATATTAAAACTTCACTCTATAAAGACAATTTTCAAATCTATTTCGTTATCAAATTCAGTAAGACCAATCCCGCATTCAACATGAGAAGTTTCACTTAGTTTTCAGCTAGGGGCGAAAGTTTTCGCTCATCAGAAGAGAACGTAACATTTGAAAATTGTACATTATAAAATTATAATTAGAACTAAAAACTCACCATAAAAATGTAGAGTTGAGGGTGTCGCTTTCAAAAGATCCAAAAGTTAAATACAAGCTAATGAAACAGGCTAACAAATTTACAATAAAATTATACAATTTATTGCATTGCGAATGTCACTTATAAATGCATAGAAAACTTGCATTTTTACAGCTCACATATACAAGATGCCGTCTAAAATTTTAAACTTAACAGCTAAGAAAATGCTCTCAAAATAGTGGAGGACATAGAGCCTAATGCCTAGTTTTATAGAAAATATGTTATTCCTGAGCCTCTTCTCTATCTCTATCTTTGTCCTTCTTCTTCTTTTTCTTCTTCTCTTTCTCTACAGGTACATCAGCAGCTGATTCCTCTGCAGCTGGCGCCTCTTCCTCACCCTTGTGCTTCTTCTTCTTTTTCTTCTTCTCTGTTGTGGCGGGTGTGACATCAACTGCCGTTTCATCCACACTGGATGTGCTGTGTTTGCGCTGCAATTAACAAGGTATTGTTAAAGGTAAATTGTATATTCAAAAAAATGTATTATGCCATACCTTGCTGGGTTCACTTGATCCGTTTGTGGGCGACGCAGCCTGTGGTGCAACTGCAGCCGCTGGCTTTTTGGCGTTGTAATCCACAAAGCCTGTTAGCCATTCCTTGGGCGTATTCTCGTTGGGCCTGCCAAACTTGTCCAGTTTACCGGCAGCAATAAGCGCCTTCTTGGCTGATGCTTTTGGACCCAATCCCCACTTGCGCGGATATGTGTCACGCTCCATAATCACACGCTTGATTTTGGCAACAACACCATGATCGCACGAGGACATGGTTGCCGTGGTCATCATGGCAATGGCCAAGCAAATAGCCTCGCCCTTTGTGGTGCATATGACAATCTCCTGTTCGATTTCGATGCCATCCTCATAGCGCAGCACGCCAGGCAACATGATTTTGGCACCATAGCAAACGGCATTAACCTAAATCATATTGAATTAGTTAGTATTTGTGATGTATTAAAGTAAATATATATTTTTTTAGTTGGAATTTGTGGTCTGAAAATAACTTTGTCGGATACACAAGCAAGGCGCAACTCCAACATACACACATCAGCAGCGTTACTGTTCCCAGTCATAGTCACAGACGCAGCTGGTTAAAATACATGCGTCTGCCGGCTTAATATCATGGGGTACGATTTGAAAATCTGAAGTATAGTCAACTTACCGAGCTGTCCTTCATGATGATGCGCTTGTGATTGATAAGAAGGCCCTCCAAGGGCTTGACAACGCGTCGCAGCATGGACTCGTCCTTGTGATTCTCATACAGCCACATGGCATCGAGAACGTCGTGCATGGTGACCATGCCGTCGCGTTCCGACTGTATGCCGGAGCGCACACGACGCAGTTCCAACATTTGGCCACCGACGCCGAGCACTAAACCCAGATGGACGCACATGGTACGTATATAGGAACCGGCCTCGCAGCTAACCCAAAAAACACCTAAGCACGTGAGTATCGAAAGACAAGAACGAGAAAGTGTTACCAATAAAACTGTGCATTTGCCAGGGCAAATACTATAATTTTGCTGTAATTTTTATTTGTTTTTGCTATGGTAGCTCTGCACGTCTCTGCCTTAAGCCGTGCAGCGACGCACCAGCTCCAGCTGTGTGGGTATATTATGCACTTGATGACTTACCCATATTGCGCGTCTCATCGTAGTCCAGCAATTTGCTGTCGTAGACTGTGCGCACACGAAGCTGACGTTTTACAGCCGAGATGAGGGGCGGGCGCTGGAAGAGTGCACCACGCAATTTTTCCAATCCCTGACGCACTTTGGCCACCGATTCAACGGGACCATGTAGTTTAAAAATAGCCACATACTCTTTGCCGGCACTTTGTTGCGATTTGACGAGACGTGTGGCGCGGTCAATGCAGACAATTAAGCAGCCTGTGTTGGAAAATGTGCGTACGCACGTGCATTAGTTAAGATTTGAGGTTAGGTTGAAAAACACGCACGTCAGAGATGAACAACATCGCTCGGACTGAAAACTATCGCAATGTGACCGGCGAACTTTTCAAATTTAATGCATTTATTAAAAAACAGTCGTACTTTTCCTCTTAACTGTCACAGTATTATAAATGTGGCTCATCTCTAGCGCGCACTTAACACACTCACACACATATATATATATATATATATATCAACACATGGTTTCAGCTTACCCGTAACCTTCGGATCCAATGTGCCGGAGTGGCCGGTTTTTTCAACTTTCAATATCTTTTTGATCCATGCGACCACCTCATGCGAGCTGGGATTCGAGGGCTTATCGAGATTTATGAAGCCAGTTTTAATGTACTCTTTGATGTCGCGATTCAGCGGCGAGGAGCCGTGTGCCAGCGGCGTATAGTGATTGGACCGTATGTTGAGTTTATCAAAGTTTTTAAGCAGCAGCGGCCACTGGGATGTGTCCAGCTCGGCTATTTTCGAGGATGGCTTTATTTGAAATTGATTCTGCTTCTGCAGAGTGCCAATATCTTCGCCATCGAGTGGCTCTTCCTTGATTTTCTTCTTTTTCTTACGCGAATCTGTAATTACGTATGACGTATTCCATTGGAGGTACTTTGTTTATGTTATTTTTATAACCACTTACCAACGTCAGTCATTTTAAATAATTTTATTTAACACACACTGCCCGCGATGCTCAAAGACGTTCGCACGCGGTGCCAGGTTATGGAAAATGGCCGAGTAACACACGTGTTGCAAGAGTTGAGTAATTCACATCGGAACTAGTTCATATATTATAACCGATAGTCTATCGATATTTTGTGCTAAAGTTACGTCCAAATCGAAATTGGGTGAGTACAAGTACGCTATGTAAATACATTTCAGAAATGTATTGCCATATAAGAGTGAGTAAAATATTCTTTGTTTAGATTTAGTAAGGTAATTGCACTTAAGTTGTATTAAGTTGTATTAAGTTCTTTTCAGTAACAATGTCAACATAAATTGTTGCGTTATTAGCATACTAGCCTGTGCTCAACTCTAAAATTATCGTATCGATAGTAGATATCGAGTATGCTAGTCGGATGAGCAACAGTTCTCGCTTAGAACACGTCACATCTCTAGTTTTGTTTTGGACAACAAATGGAGCAGACGGTAGGAAGTGGAATTGTTGGTGAACCTGTGCCCACAGTCCGTAAAAATGATGCCCAAATAGTGAAACCCACGCGTAACACTGCCATTAAATGCTTGAAATGCGCGAAAGTGTTTATATTCCCCGCCGACCGGGACGACTGCCTGGCGCACTTGTACCTCGAGCATCGTCTGGTCATTGCAGATGTGGAGGACATAGCGCTGCTGGAGGATTATCTGCAATACTGGGAGAAGGAGTTTCAATGTAAACATGCTTGCCTACATATATAAAGTTGATTTTAATTTATTTCTTGTTGGCCAGCTCATGAGTTCGAACAATACTGTACAACAATGTTTCTGGATCAGCTGCCTGACGGTACCTACTCTAAGAACGAGAAATATTACCTGCTCTGTGATATATTGCCGCAGGACTTTGAGCTGCGCAAGCTGCTGCAGAAGCAGCGCTTGACTGCTGCATTGGAGCGGCATCAGTTCGAGCTAACGGATCGCAGCTTCAGCAAGGAGTGCCTCTTCTGTCGCACTGTCATCAAAGGTCTGCGTGCCGACTACTTGGATCACCTGTTTGACAGGCATTTTCTGCTTGTGGGCAAGCCAGAGAAGCTGGTCTACGTGGATGAGTTGCTCGATCAGCTCGAGGAGAACTTAAACAAATTGATGTGTTTGTACTGCGAAAAGATATTTAAGGTAGGCTTATAAATAATATAATACACAATTTCTTAAACACTGTTGTGCATTCCCAGGATCGACCCACGCTTAAGGAGCATATGCGCAAGAAGGGACATAAACGCATCAATCCCAATCGTCGCGAGTACGACAAATTCTTTTTAATCAATTATAATCGCACAGTTGCAGCGCCTGCGGTGCGCAAGCAGCCGCGTCAGAAACGTAAATCCCAAGGAGCGGAGGAAAATGCCAGCGTTGATTTTGATAAGCATTTTGCGCGGCAGGACTCGGACGGAGATTGTGATTCAGACTGGTCCGATTGGGCAGGTGATGGCGAGCCCCATGCAATTAAGTGTTTGTACTGTGCCCAGGAGGAGACTCAGTTTTCCACATTGAAGCAGCACATGCTTGAGGAGCATCGTCTGGACTTTGACGCCGTCACTAGCACCTTGAATTTCTATCAGAAAATTAAGGTTGTAAATTATGTGCGACGGCAGCTGTGCCTGCTGCGCTGCATGTGCTGTGATTTGCAATTTGATGAGTTCGAGCTGCTGGCCGAGCATATGGCTCAGGAGTCGCACTGTGGCATCGGGGAGCGTGCGAGCTGGGACAAACCCGAATTCTTTTTTCCCTATATGGATAACGATGGACTTTTGTGTGTGTTGGATGACAGTGCAGGCGACGATTTGGATGCGGATGTGGTGCGCATCATTTCTGAGGATAGCCTGGCGCAGATAAACAAGGATGCAGAGCGTTTGTCATTAGAGAATTTTAAATTGTGAATCTTGTTTGCAAATAAAACCAAAATTGTAAATTTATTTTAAAAACAATCGGAAATTGGCGCTGAAAGCTTATCGATAATCAAAATATCGATATATACGTGACAAGTCTTGTTTGCCGACAGGCGTCCAGTGTTGTACAATGCAACAGCTAAAGTGCAACGCGTTTTCGGTATTTTTGTGTGTTTTTGTTTTGCTAATTGCACTGACATCATTCCGCTTTCTTTGATAAATTTGCAAATCAGAATGGAAGCCCTTGACATATTGGAGAAAAGAATAGATTCGCTGAATCGCGTGCTCGGTCCACTGCCGGAATCATATGCTGGAGACGCCGACGGCAGCAGTACGGCAAAGACCGCGAATATTGTGGACACGCTCTGCTC